GTTTAGGGTTTAGGGGTTTAGGAGGCTTAAGGTTTAGAGTTCATGTAGGATTCAGGGTTTAGGATAAGTTTTCGGTTTAAAGTTCAGGGTCTTGTTTTTAGCTTTTGGGGTGGAATGTCCTTTTCTTCCTGATGGCCGATGGTTTCGGTTCATGGCTTCTGGGATGGCTTCGACTCTGGGGTTCTCCTAAGAATTTAGGGTTTAGGGTTTAGGGTTTAGGGTTTAGGGTTTAGGGTATTAGGGAAACCCCTGAAAGGGGACCCTTCTTGACCCTACTTATGGCTCCTTGAAAAGGGACCTTATTGAGAGGGTCTAGGGTCTAGGGTTTAGGGTTTAGGGCTATATCCCAACTCCTAGGTTCTTGTCGGATAAGCCCTAAACCGTTGATACTTGAAGCTTGAACCCTGATTAAGCCATTGAATCCTAAACCCCAAAAGCCTAAACCCTAAGAGGGAGGGAGGGGTTAGGATCGAAGATTGCTGGAGCTCTGCAGCGCGAGGATCCTTATGGAGGTTTCTGGTATCTGCGGTCTTCGGAGTTCTGTTGGCGGTGCCGGGCAGTGCAGCGTGGATAGTCACAGTAACAACAGCAATGCCGATATCAATACCGATGCCGATGCCGATACCACCACGAATACTGACTACGAATGCCAATACTTGTACTGATACCACTAGCACCAGCAGCAGCCACCAACACCACCGCCGCCGCCACCGCCACCACAAGACTACAGCAACTCCAACAAAAACTGCAGCATCATCATCGACACCAGCAGCTTGCTTATACGGTTCATCTCATCGATGTTTTCTGTGTTCATGGTTGCTGCTAGAGTGGCATCGACTATGGGATAAAGGTTGCCTATACCCTAAACCCTGAACCCCAAACCCCCTAAACCCTAAACCCTAAACCCTAAACCCTAAAACCCTAAACCCTAAACCCCTAAACCCCCTAGCCCCTAAACCCTAAACCCTAAACCTAAACTGGTGTTTGCTCATGTTTATCCCATGTCTCGCATGAAGCTGGACCTCGCAGTCGGTGTTTAGGGTTTTAGGGTTTTAGGGTTTAGGGTTCAGGGTTTAGGGTTTTAGGGTTTTAGGGTTTAGGGTTTAGGGTTTAGGGTTTCAGGGTTTAGGGTTCAGGGTTAGTACAGGGGCCGACAGTCATACTAGAACTTAGCACAAAACTCGCTACATGCCAGCTTATATGGCCCCAACCTTATGGGCTTCGGGTTTAAAGTTTAGGGTTCAGGGTTTAGGGTTTAGGGTTTCCCATAGCCCGTTTGGGGATCGGGACATGGGGCCCGGTGTAGTCGCCATCGGAAACGAACGCGTGGCATCCCAAGATCCCAGCTTCCAAGGATGGTAAGCCTCTTGTTAAGGGTTTAGGGTTTAGGGTTTAAGCTATTGTACAAAGAGACCATATTATTTACCATAGATGACATTATCTGTCTGGTGCTCAGCAGGGAATGGGGGAATGGATCCCTATGATAGTCCCTTAAGGTCCCTTATAGTAGTCCCTATACCTGAGGATCCATATTCTAAAGGTAGTATAAAGGAGCCCAAAACCTTATTCTAGCTCTGAAGGCCCCTACCCTAAGGGTCCAAAGGACCCAATAATCAGGTACTTAGGTTTCGGATAGTAGTTATGTAGGTTACTATTTGGGAGAGTATATGATTATTAGGTACTTGGACCCTTAGGGCTAAACCTTAAACCAAAGCCCCGATATGTTCAGGCAGATGACGTCACCTGTTCCCATGGCGCCGCGCTGACGCAGCTGGACAAGGATGAGGCGCACTGGTGGTCTGAGCCGACATAGCATAATCTGTCTGGTGCTTAGTAGGGAATGGGGGAATGGATCCCTATGATAGTCCCTTAAGGTCCCTTATAATTATAGTAGTCCCTATAACCCATTCCCCCATTCCCTACTAAGCACCGGACAGTAATGTAGGGGCCTAAATACTTTCTAAGGTTAGAAGTATGGGCCCCTAATATGGACCCTCAGGCCTTTCTAGGGACCCTTAAGGGTACGTATAGGGTATGTAGTAGGTATATAAGGATGCCAAGGTTAAGGGCCCACTTTAGGGGCTCATGGGTTCAACCTTATATATTTACCTATACATATTATTTGGGGGACTCCTTAATTATAATTATAGTGTAATGGGCCCCAAAACCCTACTCTAATTATTTAGGCCCTAAGGCTCGTTTCAATGCACCGGGATCCTTCCCGGATTTCTTTGACGGCCGCATACGGGTTTGGGACTTTTCGTAGAGACTATCCCTCATAGACCCCAGAAAACCTCTTATTGTGGAGACATGTACGACGGCACCTCATTCCCTAAACCCCCTTTCCCCTTTTCCCTAAGCCCGTTCCCCCCAAACCCTAAACTCTTTAAAGCTCGAGGGCCCGTGCGTACATTCTGCGGCGAGTCGCTGTGCTAGTGGTGCCCTCAATCCGAAAGCCCTCGTTGAACCCTGATCTTTAAGGGTTCAGGGGTGTACGGCTTGGGGCTTTTGGGGTTTAGGGCTTCGGCCAGAGCCAAAACCCTAAGCCCTAAACTGTCTGGTGCTTAGAAGGGAATGGGGGAATGGGTTATAGGGACTACTAGAAGGGACCTTAAGGGACTATCATAGGGATCCATTCCCCCATTCCCTACTAAGCACCAGACAGTAAATGCTCCCTAAATTTCCGAAAGTCATGAAACCCGAAGGAACCGCAGAGGCCTAGGCCGTAACTGATCCGCAAAGCCCAGACCCCGAAATCGTTGTGCTTTTGGTTCTCGCCTTCAGGCTTGGAGAGCTGCATGTGGGGGTTTCCGAAAATAGGGGGACCCTAATATAGTACTCCAAATAATAGGATCCCTATTATAAGGGCCCCAAAATAAGGTACCCCTAATTTTCGGAAACTCCCATGTGTTGCTTGATGGACCACAGCCTGCAACTGTCCCCATAGTTTCGGTTCGATCTAAATGTAGACCCACATCAACTTGAGCCACTACCGCGGCTCGCCTGGGTATAGGGTTTAGGGTTTAGGGTTTAGGGGTTTAGGGTGTAGGGTTTGGGGTTTAGGGTTTAGGGGTGGTTTACGGTTTAGGGGTTTAGGGATTTAGGGTTTAGGGGTTTGGGGTTTTAGGGTTTAGCGTCACTGTTGATGATACAAATCCTGCCTGACCTGATGGACCCTGAACCCTGGGACTTCTCGATACTAGAGCCTCTACTATATACTGTTGATTGGTACAAATCCTGCATGACTTTTAGGCCCCTGAACTATGGGCTTAGGGTTCAGGGTTCAAGGACCCTACCCCAAGGGTCCAAAGGACCCAATAATCAGGTACTTTGGTTTCGGATAGTAGTGATGGAGGCTACCATTTGGGAGAGTATATGATTATTAGGTACTTGGACCAACGCCTACAGTATCATTAAGCATTTGCAAAACGTCCCCCTTGCGAAGCCACCTCGATCGTCCTGACCTTCTGCCGGTAGACGTCCGATTTCACCAACCCTGTTTTAGTTGTCGACCAACCTGAATCCCGAAAAGGCCCCCTTTTGTAAAAGCCCCCTTTCAGCTTTGCCGATATACTATAAACCCTAAACGATGCACCGCCATGGAGCGCGAAACCCTAAAACCTCGGTCCGAAACTCCGAAACGTCAAGCCCCGATCCCCGAAATCAGACTGCTGATAATATATTATAGGTTTGGGGTCTAGGGTTTAGGGTTTAGGGTTTCGGGTTTAGGGATTTAGGGTTTAAGGTTCAGGGTTTAGGGTTCAGGGTTTAAGGTTTCGGGTTTCGGGTTTAGGGTTTAAGGTATCCTGCATTACCTGAAGGACCCTAGACTATGGGACTTCTGGTGCATTCCTTATTCTGGGTAATGCAGGTTTTATATCATCAGCCGTAGCTGAGCCCAGCAAACCATTCCGTGGCTCTTCTTAAGGGCCTTCCTGGGGTGTTCTTGGAAATTATTTTTTAAGTTTTAAGGGCTATAATCCATATATAACCCATAAGAATTTAATGTTTAAGGACTATAATCCATATATAACCATATATAACCCATAAGAATTTAATGTTTATAAGGCTTCTGAATCCGGCCCAGGGCCTTCATCCAAGCTACCAGAACATGGAAACCATATTATTTACCATGAGTTCCTATTATGGTAATATCGGGGCCTTAATAATCTCAATAAGGTTTGGGGGTATAGTGTATTAGAATTCCAAGTTTCCATGGCATGGAAACCATGTTACCTACGCTGTTTTTTTTTTGGGGGGGGGTCCTTATGATTATAGGATAATGGGCCCCGAAGCCCTATTCTAGTTGTTAAGACCCCTAATATAGAACCCTATCATACCTCCGTTATAGAACCCTTTTAGGATCCCTTTATAGGAGCCCTATAGAACCCAATTCTAATTCTTAAGGCCCCTGTGTTACGAGGCTCTATGAGAACCCAGACCTTTCCGGAGCCCTCCTTCCTCAAACTCCCACGGGTCCATGGGCCGTTCCCTTCTTTCTTTGAGGGTCCAAGTGCTCAAGTAATTCGAGTTATGTATGTATGTATGTATGTAAGTAAGTATGTATGTATGTATGTAAGTGTGTATGTAAGTGTGTAAGTAAGTAAGTAAGTAAGTAAGTAAGTAAGTTAGTTAGTTAGTTAGTTAGTTAGCTAGCTAGTTAGTCAGTTAGTTCGTTGGAGGCACCTTCGGGACCGACGCGTTTCCTAGTCGGTCAATTGGACATTCAGGGTTCGTTGATGTAGGGTCGGGTTTAGGGGTTTAGGGCACTGCCCCACCATTTCTAGGACATTTTCAGGTGGGTAGTTACCGTTATAGGAGCCTTATAGGAGGTCTATATACTTTATGGAAGCCTTATAGAAGCCCTATATACCCTAAACTCCCCACCTGTATTTCCTTTAACTCAACCCTAAACCCTAAACCCCAAAAACTCTAAACCCTAAAACTCTAAACCCTAAAGCCCTAAAGCCCAAAACCCTAAAGCCCTAAACTCCCCACCTGTAGTTTCCTTCAACCACTCCAGCTAGTCTTTGACATGACCAAACCCTAAACCCTAAACCCTAAACCCTAAACCCTAAACCCTAAACCCTAAACCCTAAACCCTAAACCTTAACCGTCATTACCATCCCCTCAGCTCTTCTACCTGGCTTCCCGTGGCTTGGACGGCCGCGATGCACGCAGGTGGGGAGCTACACAGTCTTCCGAGCTTCAAAAATAGGAACATAAAGATCTCACATTCAGGGCAGCAAGGATCATTTAAGGGAGTTTCTGCAAAGTGAGATGGTTCATGTGCTTTTCTGGTTTCCTGTCAAGTTTTTCATTTGGTCGGGCTATACCTGGCGCGGGATTCAGGTTTCAGCTTAGGTCTTGACGGCTTTGAGCTGAGACGTGCTGGACGGTTCAGGGTTCAGGGTTTAGGGTGTGTTGGGCATCACTGGTAATGTCAATACGACTGGTGCGAAATACGTCAAGACGATTGACTGATACCCCACGATTGCCTTGGAGGGCTTGAGGAACGGGTACAAGTGTTCGTACTATTGGTATGGGTGTTGCTGCACGGGTCATGGCAGTAACATTGGGTCGCTGCTGATCTTTCTTTCTTACCACTAACACCGCGGTAGTGCCCAACTATGAAAGTCCCGGAAGCCGAAATCCCTCAACCCAGAATAACCCACCACGAAACCCTTCACCCGTAGAGCCTATGTCACATACCCTAAACCCTGAACCCCCAAACCCCTATAACCCCTAAACCCCTAAACCCCTAAACCCCTAAACCCCTAAACCCGTAAGCCCTAAACCCTAAACCCTAAAACCCTAAACCCCTAAACCCAAACTCGCACACCCTGGGCCAGAAGCTTCGTGGAGCCTCCTCCCTCGACCCAACGTTCTGGCACCTCAAATTCCGGAAGCCCTGCAAGCGATGACGAAAAGAGGTTGCGGGTGGTTTTCTAAATTAGGGTCCCTTTCTGGGTCCTTTTTGTAGGGTGCCGTACTATATTGGGGACCCAAAAAGGGACCCTAATTTAGAGAACTACCCATCGGCTCAGGGATAAGGGGTCGGATGCCTAACCCCACCTATGACATATGATAGATCTTGCCGAATTTTGGAACCTAAACCCTAAACCCTAAACCCTAAACCCTAAACCCTAAACCCTAAACCCTAAACCCTAACCGTCCTCTCCTCCCATACGTGCACTTTCTTTTCTTTCGATGGTTTGGGGAGCGCCGGTGTCTCGCCGACCCCAAGCCTTGAGTCCCCAAAGCAGGGTTTAGGGTTTAGGCTTGTGGGGCTTTGGGTTTAGGGTTTAGGGTTGAGGGTTTAGGGTTTAGGGTTTAGGGCTTAGGGTTTAGGGTTTAGGGTTTAGGGTTTAGGGCTTGGGCTTTAGGGTTTTGGGCTTAGGGCTTAGGGTGTAGGGCTTAGGGCTTAGGGTTTAGGGTTTAGGCTTTAGGGGGCCAGGGTTTAGGACACCTGGTAAAATCCTTTTATAGAATTATAGTTTATAGGGTTCAGGGGTGTAGGGCTTAGGGTTTACCTGTAGTCTGCATTGTAGTTCCTTTTTCTGGTTAACCAATTTTATGGTTAGGATCCTATAGGTTAACCAAGAAAGGAGCTACAATGGACACTATAGGTATTCTCTTACGATCTTAACCTTCTGCGGGAGAACATAGAGAAGCGAAGAGCAAACACAAGAATTCACCAGTGAGAGAGCCCTAAACCCTAAACGACCAACCCAAAACGACTAATCCCCTGTGAGATTGATGCTGGCTGGCTTTCCTACAGATTTGTTACACGGCCTCAAGGACGCGCTTTGCTGTTTCGCGGTTCTCCCAGCAGACACATAGTACCTACTTTTGGTGGGGTCTAATGTCTATAAATAACACCTTAAACCCTAAACCCTGCCCAAAGAGGGTTTAGGGTTTAGGGTCTAGGGGTTTAGGGTTTAGGGTTTAGGGGTTTAGGGATTTAGGGGTAAGGGGTCTAGGGGTTTAAGGGTTTAGGGTTTAGGGTCTGGGCCCTCCTAACTAAACCCAAGACCCTAAAACTGCAACACCTCTTAACCCACAAAGCCCGGATCTTTAGCTCGTGCCCTAAGGGTCCAAGTAAGTACCCAAATAGTAGGGTTTCAAGGTCCAAACACCATTCAGAGTATGGGTTTGGGGACCTAAACCCTAAACCCTAAACCCTAACCCCTAAACCCTAAAACCTTACTATTTGGGTACTTGGACCCTTCGGGTTGGCAGTTTTAAAGAGGAGCCGCTGAAGAACCCAAGGAACCTGCAACGGAGAGCTAAACCCCTGGTTTAGGGTTTAGGGTTTAGGGTTTAGGGGTTTAGGGGTTTAGGGGTTTAGGGGTTTAGGGTTTAGGATTTAGGGTTTAGGGAGAACCCGAAAAGAATAAACGTGAGAATATGTGGCCCGTAAAGAACCCTTCGCAGTAGATTCCATGGTTTCACGCGTGCTGCCTCGTAGATCTCAGCTCAAATCCCTTCCGGGTTTAGGGTTGCTTCAGGGTTCCTCCAGGGTTTAGGTTTCACGATTGAGTAAGGCCAAGCCCTGCCCCCCCCAGGGTACCTACTTTATTAGGATACTAGAGCCTCTACTGCTGTTGATGATATAAATCCTGCATTACCTGAAGGACCCTAAACTATGGGACTTTGGTATATTCCTTATTATGGGTAACGCAGGGTTTATATCATCAACCATATATAGGCCCCTTTTCCCTAAACCCTAAACCCTAAACCCTAAATCGCAGGTACCTGGAGGGCCTAGGGAAGGGTTTCAACAGCTCTCGACTTCCAGAACGCCTGGCAAGCCCTTGGCTCTAACCCCAAGGGTCCAAAGGACCCAATAATCAGGTACTTAGGTTTCGGATAGTGGTTATGTAGGTTACTACTTGGGAGAGTATATGATGATGGGAGAGTATATGATGATAAGGTACTTGGACCCTTAGGGTACTATAGGGGCCTTCATAGTTAGAAGAAGGTTTTGTTGCCCATTCTACTATGTTTATAATAAGGAGCCCCGCAACATAGCATCATACTATCTTGGGGTCTCCTTATTTTGATTATAGTGTAATTGGGCCCCAATTGGTAGTTGTTCAGGCCGTCGGAACCTTGAATTGAACGGCTGAGCCCCTTCGTTTCAATTGCTAAAGCCCTGGTTTAGGGTTCAGGGTTTAGGGTTTAGGGTTCAGGGTTTAGGGTTCAGGGTTCAGGGTTTAGGGTTTAGGGTTGCCTGCAAAGCTCTGCACTGAAGTCCCTGAGAACGCCGAAGAACCCTAAGGAGTCCAAGCAGGAAAGGAGCCTTGAAAACCCTAAAAGTCTTTAAATCCTGCTTTTTTAGGATTTAGGGTTTAGGGTTTAGGATAAGAAGGAGTATACCAGAAGTCCCACAGTTTAGGGTCCTTAAACCCTAAACCCTAAACCCTAAACCCTAAACCCTTTAAGGTAATGCAGGATTTGTATCATCAACGGTAGTGACCCTAAACCCTGAACCCTAAAGGTCCCTACGTAGTGACCCTTTTTACACCCTGACGCCCGAAACCCTAAACCCTAAACCCCTAAACCCTAAACCCTAAACCCCTAAACCCTAAACCGTTTAGGGTTTAGGGTTTAGGGTTTAGGGTCCTCGTGTAAAAAGCGCAGGACTTCGCACCGAAGGCCCATGAGAGAGTCGGCCGGCCAAGCTCTGGGGTGTCAATGTATACCCATAGGCCCCACCCAGAGGACCCAATACCCCTAAACTAAGGAATATACCTTAAATTTTAGGGGCCTTAATATTATAACTTAAGGTATATTCCTTAGTTAAGGGGTATTAGGTTCTCTGGGCATAGTAGTTCCTTTTGGGGATTCACTCATAGGATCCTAAATACAAGCCACAAAAAGGAACTGCTATGGGGCCTATGGGCAAAGTGTTAAGATAAAGGATTCCGCATTCATGGTCTATGGGGTTTACGGTTTAGGGTCATGTAGGGTAGAAGGGATGTGGTTTTGAATGGTTATGTAGGCGGTTGTGTTTCAGGATAGATAGACAAATTAAGGTCCCACGGCCCACCGCGTCCCCGCGTCGAACTGCTTCATGTTGCCTTCTACACCCCAATACATTCCTACTTGCAATATCCAGCCACCGCGCAGGCTCCCTCCTTCTGAACGGGTCCCCAAAACGGGTCTTGGGTTAAACGATGTCATGTGAGATTCCACCAGAACACCCCTCAACCCTGAACCCCAAACCCTATGCCTTAAGCCTCAGCTCCATACAAAACCTTCTAATATAGGGATCTGAATAATTAGAATAGGGTTTTGGGGTATATTATACTATAATGATATTAAGGACACCCTCAAAACCCTATTCTGATAAATTATTAAGGCCCCTACATTATCGCCCTTTTAAAACCCAGGTCCTGGAGAAGTTGACATCCATGGCAGAGTCCAGCGACTGAGGCAAATGTTGATCGTTTGGGGTTAGGCTTTTATATCTTAGGGTTCGTATAGGGGTTTAGGGTTTTAGGATTGAGGGTTTATGCTTTGCGATTTTGGGCTAAGGTTGTAGGGTTCGCAGGAGCCAAGAGTGTTCGCCAAGCTTGTGCTGAGCAGAGAAGCCCGCAAGCCTGTAATACCATTCTACGGGCCTGAACAGTCCCGACACAATCGCATGAATACTCCAAAACCCTCTTCTAGTCAGCACGGCTCCTGTATTAGCATAAGTTTACCTACTTGTTGTGACTTGCTCTCGTCTGAAACCTATCTATCCAATTTCGACGAGGGCCATAGAAGCCAGTGTCCCAGCAAGCCCAATGCAAGCAATTTGCAGGGATCGCTTAAGATAGTGGCCTTAATAATTAGAATCGGGTTTTGGGGTCCGTATCGTATAATTATAATACGGAGCCCCCAAAACCGTATTCTAATTACTAAGACCCCCATATTAAACCATCAACTCTGAAATCCTTAAAAAACCCTACCACAAGCTTTGCCGGGATCGTTTAAACCCTAAACCCTAAACCCTAAACCCTAAACCCTACCGCAAGCTTTGCAGGGATCGTTTAGATCCTGGCAGTTTTTGGCGCTTTTGTCGCGCGCCCCTCTCCGTTTGCCTCGCCTGGAAACGTCAGGGCAGAGGATCCAGTTTTTGCCTCTCGGAGATTCCTTTAAAGGGTACTATAAGGTTTCCTTTAAAGGGATCT